ACATAACAGATATAAGATAAAGATTATGTAAGGATCAGGGATATATTTCAGCAGTACAGTGCCTGCCTAGCATGTACACATTAAAGAGCTAAAGAGGCAGGGCAGACTGAAAAACTTAGTTTCTTGCTTTGGCCTTACAAAACATGAGGAAACTGTACCTCATGATAAGGACCATTTCCAAATCTAACATTATCATTCTATATCTGTAAGTCCTGTACCAAGATTAAAAAGTACTGGAGTAAAATTGAAAGGAAGGAAATCTAATCCTACCTGGGAGAGTCAAAGAAACCTGCATACTGAAAATAACATTTAAATTAGGTTATAAAGGATGGGTAGCAATTGATTAGGAAAGCAATGAGAGCAAAGAAATTCTAGGAAAAAGTAGAAATAAGAAAGAAGGGAAGTGTAGAGCACGCTCAGGAATTACCCAGTAGTCTTGTGTGGTTGGAAATTGAGATTCCTAATACTTAAGTAAGGAAAAGTAGGGGGAAAGGTAGCTTCGTGTCAGATTTTGGAGAACCTTGAATGATACGCTGAGTGGTTTAGATTTTATGTTTTAAGTTATTCACATTGGAAGATGCAAGTACAAAATAAATAGGGACTAAGCAAGGCCTGTGGGTCTAATAATAGCAATAAAAGGACAAATGTGTTTTGGTGCTTTAAAAAATATATAGCATTTTGTACGTATTATTGAACAATTTTTAATTGAACATTTTTGGAGAATAGGGTCCATTCATTCCTTCAAATATTTATTGAACATTTATATATAAGACAGTCTAGATACTGGAACTAGAGTAGTGAATGAGACAGTACATTCCCTGATATGCTAGGATACTTGGGCTGGCACACAAAAAAATGATAAACCTGGAAGGGCAAAAAGTAGGAATAAATTGATAGAGGGAATGAAATGTTCAGTCTTTACAGATTAAGCTTGAAATACATACATCCCAGTGAAAATTTCAGGTAGCTGTTGGATACAGATATCCTAGGCTTTTTTTTTTGGACTTCATCTCACAGTTCTCCATTATTTAAGTTTTGTTATTTATTTTTTAAAAACCCAATGAATTACTGTCATCTTTTTGTCATAATATATTCTATTTGTTGATTAATGTATACAATATAACATGTCAACATAAGAGTGAAATGAATCAATTTCTTAAGAAATGTATATTTTTGTCTTGGAACAAAACAAACAAAATCTATAGGAAACTCATTATAATCCTATTCATGACAATCGTCTTTATTGTCAGTAATTGGTAAACAAAAATTTAAGCAAATAATAAAAACACAACAGATTATTAAGCACTATGAGGAGTATTATGAAACTTTGAGAAACATTAAAATTAAAATTACAACCATTATTTTTGTTTACATTAAAATCAATATTTTTCTGAAATTAAAATCTCATCAGCAATTTTTAATAAAATAAAATCTCTTTTTTGTAGCTACTGATACAAATAGTTAAGAATCGCTTGAATAAAAATAAGGTGGGAAGAATTTCTCCATTAACTATCAAGTAAATCTACAGTAATAAAGCAATACCATATCAGCACAATATTAAACAGATATACCCTTGGAATTAAAAAGCAGGCCAGAAATAATCCCATGGATATATTAATACTTTGTATCTGACAGAGTTGTTATTATAAATGGGGAGGGAGTGACCTTTCAACAAATGACACTGGGACAATTGGATATTTAAAAAATGAAATTGAATTTCTCACATTCTATACAAAATTAATATCAAGAATACTAAAGACCTAAATGTAAAGGATAAATCTATAAATATTTAAGCATTAATGTCTTATAAAATCATTATGGTTCTGAGGTAAAGAAGAATTTCTTGGGGGGGGCAGGAAAAGCACTTACCATAAAGAAAAAGGATTGATAACTTTGACTATATTATCCTTAGAACTTCTACTTATCAAGAGAAATCATCAATAAAATTTAAAAATAAATTGCCAAATGAGGAAAGAAATATGCAAAATGTAAAAGACAAGGGACTAATGTAACTGTACTGTATACTTAAAATGTACCAATAAACTCAATAAAAGAAAAAAAAGACATAGGACTGAAGTTCGAACAAAAAATTCCCAAAACTTAGTTTGAAAAAGTCATACAACCCACTAGAAAAAATGGAAAATGTCTTGAACTAATGCTTCATCAAATAGGAAATCCAAATGTTCAATAAGCATATGAAAAGATGATCAACATTAGTAGCAATCAGGAAAATCTAATAATAAGATTCCATTTTAGGCAAGGGTATAAGAACCCAATGCTGAATGTAACTGTATCGTTTACCTTAAATGTACCAATAAATTTAATGGGGAAAAAATAGCTACTGAACCCGCAAAAATTGTCTAGTAATACCAAGTTGTGACCAGCAGGTGGGGCAATGGGACTTGTTGGACTTGAATGATAAGGGTGTAAATTAGTACACAGCATTAGGAAGTTAGGCGTCATCTACTTAAATTAAAAGTGTCCATACTCCACGAACCAGTAATTCCATTCTTATGAAAATACACTAGAGACACCCCTGTTATGTACACTACCAAGAATATTCATTGCAGGAATATTTTGTTATAGTCAAAACCTGGAAACAAGAATTCCCCTCAAGGTTATCATGGATAAACTGTATACTTATACAGTGGTATACTGTGCAACATTAAAAATGAACCAAATCCAGCTATCTGCAACAACATCAATGAATTTTACAGTGTGGAGTGAAAGAAAATAGTTACAATTTCAAATTTATAAAGTTGAAATATCAATTAAACAATGTTGTTTGGGTATGTTAATGAAGATAAACCTATAAATAAAATTTTAAAAATGATCGTCACAAAAATAAGAACACGGCTACCTCTAGAATTAATGTTGCCATTAATTACTAGAAAAGAATTACACTCTAAACTTTACTGAGAATATTTAAATGGAAAAAGTTGATAGGTCTGTGCAATTTGACAATATTGCCTAGGTTTTTATAGGAACAATTTGTAAAAATTAGCTAAATTATAACATGCTTTAATTGTAAATCTGTGTATACTTGAATAGCTTTGCGTTTCAACATACATAATGTAAATTTTACATATTTATAGTGGCAAATATAAAAATGTAAAGTTACCATCATTTTAGTTTTATTTGTCTTTTTTAGGGGGATCATATTTTGAGACAGGGCCTTGCTTTGTAATTCAGGCTGGCTCTGAACTCACTATGTGCCTGAGCTGGCCTTGAACTCATAGTAATCCTCCTACCTCAGCCTCCCAAGTGCTGGGATTACAGGCACGCACCACCATACCCAGCTTAGCTTTCATTTTATGTTTTGCAACAGCTGTGTCTGTATTTATGTATTTCTCTGTGTTGCCCGGGATCAAACCTTTATGTATACTAGGCAAAGTGTTCAGCCCCTGAGATATACCTCTAGACATATACCATTATCAGAGAGGTGAAACATGGTTACGTACATGTTCCAATCCTCTACTGCAATCATTACGTACTGCAAACGTGCTAATAAAAGTCAAAAATGAAAAAAAGTTGAATCTATGAATACTGAATCTAAAAACAATAACTGATATATGCAACTCTAGGTTCTGAAAAATTATTTTGTGTATACACGTAGAGGATGTGCATTCAAATAATTAAGCAAGTAAATGATAATAGGTGAATGTGTGTGCAGGTTATATGGATGTTCTTTGTGCTTTATTTATGCATGCGATGTTACTGTAAATTCAAAATTATTTCTAAAATAGGAAGTTAAAATGAAGAAAGGGATTTGAACTGACATAAGTGTAAATAAAAAATTGTACTTGGGTGTAGAATCACCTCTTGGATAAAACTGAAAAGGAGTAGTGGTGGTTTATTCTTTTCAGTTTACAATCCAAAGCCATAAGCTAAGTTACGAAGCTTTGTAAACAGTATTTTTCTTCTGAGAGTTAGCCTTAAAGCTGCTGTCCTGTTTTTCCTTTCCTTCTGCCAACTATGTGTTCTTCTTCCTTGTATTCACAAGTATAATCATCTGCTCTTATCCTTGGGTATTGGTTCCATATAGATACCAAAATCTGCAAATCCTCAGATCCTTTATAAAATATGGCATACAGTATTTGCATATTACTTCTCATCTCTAGATTCATTATAATGCTTAATATAAGGTATGGGCTCTGTAAGTGGTTGCTATACTGTATAGTTTAGGGAATAATGACAAGAAAACTTGTATGTATCCAGAACAGTATTTTTTCCCAGATATTTTCTATTCACAGCTGTTTGAATACAAAGTTACAGAACCCACAAGTAGGTAGGACTGACAGTGCTGTCCTAACCCACCTAAATCTTCAGATATAAGGGTTCATCTGTAACTCTTGTGGACAGCCAATTTCTGTTGACCGTGGCAAAAGTTCTGTGATAGCAGATGGCCAATTCTGCCTTAATTTCTGTAGCATTCAGTGAGGGATTCTCATTGCTGGAACTATAGTCTGGTGATTGATTACAAGGGCAAGTTTGGTTCAGAAAGGAGGTGCAAACGGTTTCTCATGATATCACCTATAAGGGGAGAACTGAAATACATATCACCTTAGAAATACTAGAAATTACAATGTTGAAATGAATGGACCAGCTATGCAATATGATTCTGTTTGTGAAATTTCAGTTCCTAAAGTTGTTCTAAGAGCAAATGTGCCATCAATAATACACTTATCAAATGTTCCACTTGCAAGTAATTTTTATTATTAGTATTATCATTATTGGCATTATTATCATTAGCAAAAAATTAATCCACTATTAAAAGAAAACAAAACATACCCCCAAAGGCATGTGCGTTGCTGACAATGAGTCAGTAACATTATCTTCATGTAGAAGGGATGACACCCTGAGGATATAGACCATATCACAGCTTGATACTCATTTCCAAAATCTGCCAACATTATTGAGCACCTAGGCACAATGGAGGATTTTAAAAATGCATATAAGAATCCCTGATTTAGGGCTGGGGATTTAGCTCAGTGGTTCCACCGCCTGCCTCACAAGCGCCAAGGACCCAAGTTCGATCCCCAGTACCAAAAAAACCAAAAAGAATCCCTGCTTTCAAAGAATTTTACAGTCTACTAGGAGGTATTAAAATACATCAAGAACACAACGCCACATGAATCAATGACATAATGGAATCAGTGGCATGTTGATGTAAGAGACCAATGTCACATTGTTGGGTAAAATAGAGAAAAGACTCATAGAGAATATGGGATCTGAGCTAGACTTTCAGGAACCAGAAAGATTTTGGCTGACTGGTCAAAAGAAGGAGCACTGCAAGTGCAGAAAATAATATGGTCAAAGTATTATGATGGATAAGTTCATGGCACGTTTTGAGAGAGAACAATAGTTCAATTTGGGTGATGTCTGGGGTCCATGTGAGTGGGAATGATGTGATAATATGTTGAAAAGTACATGGGGACCATATTTTGAATAGCTCTGAAAGTCAGTTTAACATTTCTAATCTTTGTGTCATAGCAAATATATCCACATCAAAGAAAATATGCAATTATTTATGAAGAGATATGATCAATTCACTTCCAGATTTCTCCCATCCAAGTACTAAGTGCTAACCAGGCAGGACCCTGCTTAGCTTCTGAGATCATACAAGACCAGGAGCATGCAGGATGGTATGGCCATAGACACTTCCAGATTTCTTAGGGAAACTGAAGCAGTTTCTGGGCAAGGAAATAATCTTGCCATCAAAAAAGTCCTAGCAGATAACACTAAGCAATCTATAATCAATTTTTCTGCTTTTGCATGTAATTAAATGTCATCCTTCAAAGTCTTTGTTCTTTCTATCCAGGGACCACATTTCTTCTCATTCCCAAATCCAGCCCCACCAGTTCTTATGGCACCCAATGAGTGAAACAAGCCAAATTTAGGATTTTAAGTCATAGCTGCTACCCAGTGACTAGGAACTAGCCTGAAGATGTGAGAGTGACTGTGGGAGGGGTACTGAGCAACATCATGAAAAATGTAGCCATCTGAGAAGTTTTATGGAATCCTCAGAGTCAAGAACAGTTCTTTGAAATTGGAGTTCTGCTCAGTTTGGTCTGGAAGACATATGGAGGGGTACAAAAACTCAACATGCCTGAGTAAGGTCATCTTATAAAGGTTCCGCTCATAAATGAATCCCTTAAAGGAATGGCATTTAATCTAGGTTCAAAGTTATTTAAGGGCCGCCTGGCTCTGAGGCTATTGAAGCTGTGGCTAGACCAGAGTAACTTTCTCTTTCTGACCAAGGAATGTTGTTAGGTTTTGTTTGTGCCCAACAGGCTGATAGTTGGGAACTTTTTCCATGCAATGACAGTTGACAGATGCTAAAGAATCCCTGTATTAGGTAATCAAGCCTAAAGAACGTAGCTATATAGGAACCAACAGGGAAAAGTTTAGAAGAACCAAGATGCCACGACTACACTGCCTGCAGCTAATCAGTCAGCTCTTTCCTGGAGTGAGACTTCTTCTGCAGGAAGTCATGGATAGCAGTAGTGAGACCCCAAGTCACACTGGACCTTAGGATGACCAGAGAGCCTCCTCGGTAGATCAGGCGTACCTTTCGACCCCGAGTGTCCCACACATCCTGCACAGAGGCCCACAGGCTTGGCATTCTCTGCCAGCCAATATGGGACTGCATATTAGCAACTAGCACAATAAGAGGATACAGAATTAGGCAAGTGATTGTTCCATTAACACTACCAGATACCAAGGCAGGAACCCAGTGGGGCAGGCCTTGCTCTGCCAAGCCATCCTGGATGGGATCCTTGAAGGAGAAATAGAGAGCACTCCCCAGGCTGTTCCTGATAAGGACAGGCCAGAAACCACGATAATAGCCCAGTGACAGCCGCCCCCAAAACCCATAAGAGTTGAATTCTTTGAGAATGCTGACGGCGCTGGGGAAGCGAGCTTGTTTGCGATCATCCTGGAGCACATTTTGTACTCTTTCAAAGGGGCTGAGTGCCACAGCTTCTACCACACCAGACATGAGTCCAGCAGCCCAGCGGTGTTTCAGGGAGTATGGCCCAACAGGGGAGAGACAGCACAGAAGACTATCATAAGTCCCAAATAGTAGAGTCCCTTGCAATGTCTTGGAAAGAAGAGGGGGGTAGATTCCCCTATAGAAGTATTGAGGGCCTTCATGCCAAAGCTGTCTCACAGCCTCTGACACTGCCACAGCATGGATCTGCTGCCGGAACACAACCTTATAGATGGGAAAAGTCACAAAAGTAGATATAAAGTTGGAAACAGCCCCAAAAGTATAGGCCTGGGAGTTCCAGCTTGTCATTCCTGGAGCTTCTGCTTGTGTCCTGTGCTGAAGTTCCTTCCCAGCAGAGTGGTTCTCCTTCATGCTGAAGACAACTGGGTACCGCTGGAACAAACTGGCAAGAGGGGGAAAAACAGGTTAGCCTGATGATTTATATCTGCTGATGAGCATTTTCATTGCTCGGTTAAAAACAGAGCCCTGAGAAACTCTGATCTAAGGAAACAAGCAACTCTGTGGCCAATTTCTGAGAAACAGGCATTTTCTTAAGACATTAAGAATTCATCCATACCTCATCTGGGTATTTTCTCAAAAGAACTAAAGACATCATATCGCAGTGATACACGCATACCCATGTTTATAAGAGTACAGCTCACAATAGCTAAATCTTAGAAGTAACCTATATGTCCACCAACAGATGAATAAAGAAAATGTCATATTTATATACAATGGAGTACTACTCTACTATAAAGAATAACAAATTTGAGTCATCTATAGAAAAATAGATGCAGCACCTTGAGACCATAATGTTAATAAGTGAAATTAATCAGACACACAACCATGAATATCAATTTTTCTCATTTTTTTTCTTTTTATTGAGTTTATTGGTGCAATCTAGGTACTCGAATACAGTTACATTCATTATTGGGATCCTGTACCTTTGCATGATAGGTCTTGGTTCTCATTTTTTCCCCTTGTCCCTGCCCTCCCTTCACCCCCTCCTCCCCTCCCCATTTACAAACACTTTATTTCCATTTTTTCATTTTCTCATATTTTTTTCCTCTCCCTTATTACCATTCCCCCACCCTTCCCACTTTCCCTACACCTTTAGCCCTTTACTTCCTATTTCACATTATTAATTATCTCATTAGGATCCTGTGTACTATTATAGTTTTTTACAACAGAGAAACTATTCGGTATTTCACTTAAAGAAATCTCTGTTGAACATTAAAAATAGGGGATCCTAAAATAAGACTAAAAAGGAAAGTAAAAGAGAAAAGGCAATGATGTAAGATTAAAATAATCCTTAATTCTGAAGATGAAAATGGTCCCTGAACATATTTAAATTGCTTCTTGCTCTTGTAGTCTTATCTTATTCTTTTCATTTTTTTCTCATATGTGATAAACTCAGAGTATAAAGAGCAAAATAAAATATAGATAATAGGACATATGGAGATAGACTTTGTGTATGTGGGAAAAAGATCTGAGGGGAGCATCTGAGGGAGGAAGGGGAAGTAAAAGATCAAGTTTCCATGTGTTTAATGTACCATTTCTACATGATGAATGTATTTATTATATGTCACAAAAATATACTAATAATTTTTTTTCAAAAAATGAATTGAACAACCTTAGGCATCATAATGCACACCTGTACTCCAACACTTAGGGAGGCTGAAGCAGGAGGATCACAGGTTTGAGTCTCATCTGAGCAACTTAGCAAGAACTTGTCTCAAAGTAAAAAAAGAAAAAGAAAAAGGACAGGGGACGTGGTTCAGTGGTAGACTACCCCTAGATTCAATCCCAGCTCAACATTAAATTAAAGGCAGTTTTTAACCAACACCTCTGTAGTATTTTGCTGACACACAAATATGCCAGTATTCAAGGGGTTATGACTGAAACCCATTAAACCAGGGAAAGAGGACTCCAAAGTACATAATATCCAACTTTCCTTGCATAAAACGTGAAATTTTGTGAACTACTAGGCTAGTAAGTTCGATTTCCTTTTCAAAACTTTGTTGTTGTTTTGTGGACTGTGCTAAGGATTGAACCTGGGGTTAGGCAAGCACTCTACTACTGAGTTATAACTCCACACTCCAAAAATGCTTTTTAAAGGTGCTCAACAGTTGTAGTGCAGTATTTTCTCCAGATAAATGTAGTAAATTGGAGTAGGGGGTAAGTCTTCCCCCTCTTCTCTCTGTAGATGTGTGTCCAAATTGTACCTATGTCATGGCAGTGTCCCACCTCCTCCCCCAGTTGAGGGCAGGAAGGAACAACTGCTCATTGCCAGGAAGCTGAGCACCTGGCATTTCCAAGCCTAACCTTTTAGGCTCATAGGCATATGACAGAGGTTTTCACAACCTTGGCACTATTAACTTAGGCAGGATAATACTTTATTATCAGTGCTTGGCTTGTTCATTAGAGGATGTTTAGTGGCATTTATAGCTTCTACTCATTGCACACCAGTAACACCAGTAGAGACATCAAATGCAACAATCAGAAATCTCTCCAGACATTGCCATTTGTTCCTATGTAAAACTGTTGAGATGCAAAATTGTTCTGGGTTCAAAATCATAGTATGAGAGGAAAAGGGCAGTACAAGGACGCCAAACTATTGTTCTTATCCCAGAAAGGCCTGGAAGTAGATAGGGTAGTGCAAGAAGCAATTTGGAGACTGAACACATGAAGGAACTTTGGGATCAAAAAGAAACAAGAGCTAGGCATGGTGATACAAACTGTAGTTCCAGCACTTAAAAGGCTGAGGCAGGAGGATCACATGTGCTCAGGGGTTCGAGACCAGACTGGGCAGTAGAGGTAGGCCCCATCTCAAAACAAAGAAAGGAATGATTGCTCAGTTCAGAGCTTTCTACTGTCTGGAAGTTGGGAGGCCTCAAACAGCTCTCCTACCAAAGGTCTTTCCCAAATCATACTTGTGCCTAAACAAGCACAGGCAGTGAGATGAATGTTTGTCTTCTTCTACCTCAGAATGCAGTAATGTTCCACCACTCTGTCCTCAGTATTTTAGAAACACATGTTCAGGGGCTCCCCAATGCAGACCAATTTAGCATTTTGAAAATCAGTAAGATTTGGCAGATCGGCATTCGAAGCACCAGTTCTGTTATTAACTTTCTATATGATCGTTAGAAATTCACTACAGTTGAATCTACTTCACTTACAAAATGAGCAGACAGGGTACAACGTTCTGTAAGTATCCCCATAACTTTCTAATATTATAGGGGGTTGTTGAAAAGTAATTCTGAGCAATAGTTGATAGAGGAATTGTACTTCTCTACCCCTGATTTGCCATTTATGTAAATTATGTTGAGGGATTAAAGGTGAACAGTAATTTAGAAACACCTTGCCTTAATATCTAACTCCTTATTTCATAAATCAAATTCTTTTTATTTTACAGAGGAAAGGAAACCTACTGTTCTCTTGTGTATTCTTCTGTTAAAATGCACTAGGGTCAGACACATCTGAGGCTGAATTCTTCCTCCACTGCCTACTGAGCTGTGTAATCTCAGACGAGAAACTAGTTTCATACAGTCTCAGATTTTTCAGCCACACACACACAAAAAAGACCTAACACAAAAGATTACTGTAAAGATTAATACGGATATGAAATAAAGAGTTGAGAATCCATGACTTGGTGGCTGCAATAAAATGTTTGAAAAAAAGATTCTTCCCATCCTCCCTATTTCTCTTCATAGAGCACATGCTCCTATCGGATACTCAGGCCATCCAAAACCAGATAAAATATGCTGGAACAAATCTTATCTTTCCATAGGAGGTGAGGAAGGCTTTTCTCTCATGAATGCAAAGGTGCAATTTAAACAATCTAGGAGAGTCCAGCCCTTTCACATGAAATCAAAGACAAGACTGTGCCTACAGTTGGTCTTGAGCAGTTGCTACTTGAATGCTATGATTTGCCTCCTATGGTTACAACTTAGTCAAATTATCTGTTTCAATAAAGTTGCTCAGAGGCTTAAATGAGATAGAAGATGGAAAGTTCCTGGAACATAGGAGGTAGGCAGCCAAAAGTAGCTATTATTGTTTCGCCTGAAAGCTTTATCTCCTAACCTCCAAGCTTAAAAGCTTTATTTGTTGAATTTGCAAAATGTGGTCTCATTAGAACCATCATTTAGGACACACACCCACACATGAGGCCACAGATAAGGGCTGATGCTCTGTATCCAGCTGGAGCTAGCTTGCAAATTTGCAAATGTTCCTTTCAGTCCTGTTCAAAGATACCCTTACTTTGTTCTAATGGCCCAACCTTTACGCAGTCTACTTTCTTTCAGTATTTTTTTATCAGAAATTTCTGTCAGTGTTTTCACCCTCTCTGATTCCATCCTCACCAGCTCCGACTGCAGATATGTAATGTGGTGATGGTCCAAATATAGAACAAGATTCTGCTGAAAGGCCAGTGTGAGATGCCATGGTACTGTCAAGCAGAAGCAAGAGTCTGGAGGAAAACAAAGAACTACTGCCATCCTCACCCTTGACTGCGAGGTGAGCAACTGGCCTTCTCTGTCCCTCTTCATACTCGCCACCCTCCATCACCAAGACCCCTCTGTTCCATTTGCAAGAAGAAGGCTACAGCCTTGTGATGGAAGATGCTCTCTCCAAATACGGACTGTTTACTCCAAGAAATTCTAGGTACGGGGGTTGTTTATAACCACCTTACTAGGCTGAAAATAAACCCAGCAGCAGTTGAATGGCATCAGATTCTTCACTCACTTCCAAGCATCAGGAGTCAAAAAGAAGCCAGACAGAGGCCTCCTAGCTACAGTCTATATAAAGGAAGTGATACCTGCTCTCTAAGAATCCGAAGTCAGGGAAAATGGAACAGGTTTTCTAGCCACTGGCTTCATCACCCATTTGCTCTGGACAGCCGTGCATGCCGTTTCCATGGAGCTGCTCCTTCTCGGGGGCGGGGGCTGGTGATGCCAAGTCCAGCAAAGGAGAAGTCCCCTGAAGAGCTCACAGAAGGGCAACCTAGCAACGTGTCCCTGAGCCAGGAAATGAAAGAGCTGTATCAGTGGCAGAGAGCTGTAATGTGGAGGTTAGGTTAAATGCTGTTTCATTTCACATACTTCTTCCTCAAGCAAGAGTTGAAGGAGTAAGATGTTATGAAGAAAGTTTATAGAAGAGTGGTTTTTAGCTGTTTGGGGGCCACAGACTCATTTGAACATCTACAAAGCTATGGACTCAGAAAAATGTCCAAAGTTCAAGGTTTCAGAGAAAAGCCCAGATAGGAAATTCTGCTCTGGAGTTATACTTCATGACAGATACACTGTGGATAGATACGCTGGTGGCAGGCCCATTCACTTATAACCTTCAGCATGATATGGTGTCTAGAACAGTTAGTTCACAAACTTCTGTACACTTCAGAATCACCTACAGCAAAAACACAAAACACACTCACGTAGTAAATCAAAATCCCCAGAAGTGGGACTCAGGAATCTGCCTTTCTAACAAATTCTCCTAAGTGATTTTGGTACCAACACTCTGGTTAATAGCCTGAGTTCTGGATTCAGAGACTCGGTTCAAATTATAAGTTCATCGTGTAATTTTAGGTAAGTCATTTTGCCTCTCTGAGCCTTGTCTCTTTGGGATTATAATGGGTTATAGAAAAATTCTTTGGGGTTTTTGAGACAGGGTCTCACTTATTTAGTTCAGACTGGCCTTGAACTCAGCGATCCTCGTGCCTTAGTGTGGCATCACACCCAGTTTAGAGATGTTACTTTTACAAGCAGGCAGTTTGTTATAGTGTAAAGATGAGAATAAAATGGGAAAGAAAGGTGCCTCGGTTTCTCTTCCATAGAGGTTCCCTTCCTCTGCTCTCACACCTCCTTCAACACTACCATGACATCAAGATGACTGGTGGGAAGATTAGAGACTACCTATGTAATATGCTCCTCAGACCTCACAGTAGGGCAAAGAGCTGGTATCAACAGAAGAGACTAGTGTACAAGGTAGGGCGCTGTTACTTATTTGCTGTAGGTTACAGGGCAGGATGCCCAAGCTTTCTGTGGTTGTTTCTTCATCTTTGAAATGGAGATGCTAGTCTTTGCTCAATAATTCTATACGGCCCTAAATTGGTCTCCCCATCTTACTTTGGCTCTTCTCCACTATCCCTTAATCTGACCCCACAAAGGAGTGCTTACCTGCGGCAGTCTTTGAAGTCACACATGACGACTTGAGTGTGAGCACTTGGCTCTGCACTTCCTGACCATACTGCCTGGATGCTTATGAACCCCTCTGTTAAATGGGCAAACTGTTACTTCCTTCATACAGTTGCTGAGGATAAATAAAATGTCCGTGCATGTGCATTTGCACACACGGAAAACGCTCAGCAAGTGCTTTTTCCCCTTCCTTCTATACAAAGGTAAAGAACGCTCATTGTTCACTTGTTTTCTGTCCCGCCTCATGTTTAAAGCATCCGGTCTCAAAGAGCAAAGAGCAGAGGCAGAAGCGGGATAAGAAGAAAGGAAGCGAGGGGAAGCAATAAACTCACGGGTAAAATGGGCCCAGTTGGTGCTTCCAAGCTGCACTTGACGACACGCCAGCTCCAGCGCCTGTCGGCCGCAGCCCCCGCCGAACCCCTCTCCTCTTAGCTTTAGCACCGGGATGCGAGGCTGCGCGGGGAGCACCCCCCCGCGCTCCCCTCTGATTGGTCGCGCCACCGGGCTCCTCAAACTCTTGTCTCAATTCCCCCGCCGAACCCCTCTCCTCTTAGCTTTAGCACCGGGATGCGAGGCTGCGCGGGGAGCACCCCCCCGCGCTCCCCTCTGATTGGTCGCGCCACTGGGCTCATCAAACTCTTTTGTCTCAATGGGCGGAATCTTACAGCAGCCACTGCTACTGGGCGGGAGGAAACCCAGAGGGCGGGGGCAGTCGTGGCTGCCTAGGAAACCGTGCTGCCAGGACTCCACTACCCTTTGCTGGGCAGCGGTGTCGAGAGCTAGCTCTGTGGGGCAACCCTGGCTTGCTTAGCGACCGAGGAGGAGTCATCCTTTTCTCCTGCAGGACCTCAGAGACCGGAAAGAGAAACAGCTGTCCATGACGCCCAAGCATCCGTGACACCCAATCACCCGTCTCCCACCTGCAGAGCCTAGGTAAAGAAAGGAAGGCGCAATTTCGTGGGAGGGTGAAGCTCCACCAATTTAGGAGCGGTTCTTGGTTTGTAAAATCCGTAACTGCGAGGCAGGACAAGTACTTCCATGGTCCAGCTAAGCTGATGAAGGAGGTGGGGTTCACGTGGATACTGCCCATTGGGTGGGATTTGCCTGAACCGGGAGGGGGGCATTTCCTGGGAGGTGGCAGAAGACTTGAAAGCTGCCTGCTTCAGATCTCTTTGCATCTCAGCTCTTCCCAGGAAGAAATACGGATGTGGGGGCGTGACCGTCTTCTAGTCCCTTTCTCAGTGACAGCCCACCAAAGCTATTCCGAACTTGAAATCTGTGTGGCTGATTGCACAACTGGTAGGCCAGTGGTTTCCCCATGGGAAACATAATGGAGAAGATGGTGACTTCTATCTAAAGGGTGGGATAGGGAATTTTCAGTCTGGCCCCAGTGGAAGGGGATAGCAGGGTAATGAATGAGGCTACTTCTGATGTTTCCGACCCTTTTCCTCAGCTATGGCACAGTCTCAGTGGCGTGAGCAGCCTGATCTTCAACTTCCTGTGGACAGAGGTTGGCCACATCAGGAGCCTAGCTCTCTCTCATGGAGGGCAGCAGCTGCGAAGGTTGAACGTGAAATAACACGGAGCACTAACTTCTGAGCTCCTGTAAGAATTTGAGAAACAAAGGAAACTTTGAGGAGTGGGGTTGAGACCTAAGACCATGAGATTAATGAAACTTACTTATTACTGTAAATCTGTGAGACTTACCATATCGTGCCCTATTTTGAGAACTCAGTATCAGCTTCAAAGAATTCTAAGCAGCAGTTGCTGACCCCTCCTGAAGAACAGGTGAGCAGGTGACTGCCAGTCTCCTGTGGGACAGTTTTAGTGCAGTAGGTAGCTATACAATGCATTGCAGTGTATTCAGGAGGGTGAAGAAGATGGGTTCCCCTACAGCCCACTAAATTTTGACCTGTTTTTTGTTTTGTTTTCCCTCTTACAGTTCCTACTGAAACAGAGGGAAGGCAGGAACATTGCTTTGGATATTCTTGCATATCAGGCTTAAAAAAAAAGTCTGAGCATCCTACGTGCAGTTGCCCTATTGTCTTCAGGCATGTAGAATCCTCACATGTGTGAGTAACTGCTGGCCACCAAATGTGCCCTTGCCACCATGGGCCCATTCCATGATGAGGTCTCTGGAACAGAAACACAGTCCTCTAATAATCCGTATGACAGAAAGAAACATGAAGTTTTTCTGTGGTACAGTAGTATTCAGGGGGAATAAACCTTTTGTAACTGAATGACTCAAGTAAAGGGAGTTCTGCCAGATTGGAATATGTCAAAAGACCAAAACTTCAAGCCCTTAACGATGAGCTTTTTTTTTTTTTTTTGGTACTGGGGATCAAACTTGGGACCTTGTGCTTGCAAGGCAGGCAACAGAACCACTGAGCTAAATCTCCAGGCCCTGAAGGGCTTAATGAAAACCCTTAGAGGCCCTTCCTGAGAGGTCATGCAATTGATTCAGGCTGCCTAACCCAACCTAAATGTGGTAACTTTTAGCAGGCAATGAAATGGGTGTTTGGGGAGTCCGGGAGTAGTGTGACTGCTCATGGTAAATTTAATGCTCTGCATACACAAGGGGAGAACACCTTTTATGTGGTTCCCTTAGAGACGCAGCTGCAGAATACTATTGAGGCAGGCACCCTAGCTGAGAAAGTTACAAACCCGCTCACCTGCACCAGCTCCTGGTAGGGGCTGAGCTGAATAGGGCGTTTGTGTCAAGTTTAAGTATCTTCTCAAGATGTATGCAAACAAGTAGGAGCAGCTTCCCAATTTCCTGGAGTTGATCGGAATGATAAGGGAAGAAGAGGATTGGAGTGACACTTTTGTTCAACAGGAGTGGCCTAAAAAGATCTGAGCCAATAGTAGCAAGAGCAGCCAGCCCTGTGTCATTTCAGATTTCCCACCCAGTACTGATTGGCAGTGCTGACTACATTTGCAACATGAAAGAAACTCAGATGAGGATGTGAACCTGGTGAAATCTGAGGATCATCCCTTTCATCCATGTGTGTTCCAGCCCTCGGAGGCAGGAGCAGATCACACGATCAGGTGTTGGCTATTGATTTTGCCAGCAATTTCAGGACTCAATCTCCTTCCCCAGTGGTTCTGCGCCTAAGAATGATAAGCCTAGGGTTATTTGTAGAACTAGGAGGCAAAAGCACACAATCCACTGTATCTATTGTCAGTCACTAGGAGATCTATTCAAAAGAAACCTGTGACAATGAAGGCAGCAAGGTCCAGGTTTTTTACTCTGCAGGAGCTGACATATAGAGAAGAGATGTCAAAAGAAGTTCCTGGAGAACACAAGGAACCCTCTCAGCCACTTATGTTGCTACGCCCATCCCTAAATGAAGCCTTAACTGCATCCGTAGTCTGTTAGTGGGTAAAATAGGAGAAAGGAGGTGAGCTTCAAACTACATGAATTAATCCACAAAGTAATCTCCTTTTGGCAGGAGAAAGACATCTTACATATCACCACAGTGCAGAGGGATGCCCTGATCTCTACTCTAGCTCCTCCCTTTGCCTGTTTAACAATCTATTCTCACTGTGTGTTTTGCTTTGGTGACTGCATTCTGTTTATGAAAAGAATATCTCTGTTCACCCTTTCAAAAATAAAGAATAATACAAAAACTAAAGTACAAATTATCTGAAAAGTCACACCACTCTTTAATACATTGTTAGTCTTTTGGTGAATTCCTAGCTATTTCCCAATCCCTGTATTCACAGATAGATACATGTATAGAAAAAAGTGATCAAATACAAGAGCTGTTGTATACTGCACTTTTTAAAACCAAATAACACATTTTGTGGGCTTCTGTGTCAATAGATATGCATAAATACCTAATTTGTATTGGTATATATTTGCAATACATAATATATACATTCATTTTGGGGAATTATCATGATCATTTTTGATCCCCATTCCCCTCTCTAACTTCCCTTTCCTTACCTTTTCCCTCTCCCTTGTCTTTCTTTCCTGCTCCAAAAGTCTTCCTTTATTTTACTCTTTATTTATAAATAGGTAAAGAAAATATAATATATGTAGTGGTATTATATATAATGGAATTCACTATTTATAAAAATTTATTTATTACTC